ACAAGGTGAATATATCAACGACGTAAACAAATATGAAGCGTTGGAAGAGTCCTAAAGTGATTTTATATTCGCGTTTTGCTGCTTTTAGGTCAAACCTTGGAAGAAACAAGAATTACATCCATCAGCTTCCTGCATAGGACACCAAGAGAAGTCAAGGAGAAACCCGCCGGTGAAATACGTAAATGGTGCAAAGTATCAATCCCGAGGTTACCCCTCCAAACTGTTCCCTTTCAACAAAGTCACCCCCGCCCCTCATCGCCTGGTGGGGCGCATCAGTGACAACCGGCCCAACAGGATGCGGATGTGTGCATGGAATGGCGTTCATCGCCCTAGATGATAACTAGTGGTTACCCTCTACAGCTTTTCGGATAAGCCACATAATACCTCTTTCATTGCACGAGATGGGCGCACAATCTGTGTGCCCTCAAGCAGCGCATTTCGTAAATCTCTCACTTTATATTCCCCACCTGTCCATGATATTTCGAGAATCATTACAGATAGATAACATAAAAAGGCGCCCATCCGAAACTAAAACACTGATGCTCCCTTATTTTGTGATTTCAACAAAAATCCCCCTCATAGAACTTACATTCCGTGTAATGGGTCCGAATGAGCTGCACGCAGGCATTTCATGAGAAATCGCAAACGCAGGACTCGGTACCACGCGCATACTGCGCATTTGAACACTGCATTGATGCTGTATGTGCATCACTCACTACATTGAACAGAAAATAAAGACGATAGAAAATAGTAATGGCAATAGCATGAACGACAAGATTGCATGTTTAAAATATCCCATCAACACATATCGCCCCTCAATACTATGTGTCCGAACACGATCTGCCCAACAACCGTTTCGATCCATTTCTCTTTTTCAAATTGTTTCCACGCTCTGCTTCCACCGCGAATCGGTCAGAGGTTTTGCATTCTTATGCATGCATATGTAGGTGGGTGGCCTAATCCGCTGCAGCCACGCGTGCGGACAATTGTTGAGATATGTCAAGGGAGATTGAGCATTCATATCGCGCCTACTCTGAAATATGGTTGTCAGGCTGGATGCATTCAAATGCGAGCGCAAGGTCAATCCGGCTGAAATTGAGTTGTTGGAATGAATACCGTTGTATTTTATATAAGTACTGTCGATGATTTGAATATCTCACGATCTAGTTGATATATTGATCCAATTTTCATTTTTCATTGATGCACTAGTATTTATTTCTTTTCCCCCGGCAGAGAGGGATACTGGCTGGTTGAAGCGAACAACCTTGGAAGAAGTAATGATTCTTGTTGCAAACAGGGGCTGGGCGTGCATGCATGATGTACTGGACGCATTCGGTGGCGCAGAAAAAGCCAGGCAGAGGTATTGTATTGTTCCTGGGCCATGTTTATTCTGGTTGATGACTGCTTCCATCCATGAATACGCAGTATCGGTCTGTGCATTGCCGCCACTGTACATAACCTTGGAATTCGGCATGGAAAAAGTGATCAAATGCGGTACTCTACATATGTGTACATGCGTTTGTTTGCATTGCTTGTTGCTTAGATCCTGTCGGGATGCGTGGTGGGTAGGGTTGAGAATAAGGACATCCCGCTTCATTGTCATTCTGAGACGGTGGGGGGAGTGTAGAAAGAATACATTGTCACTAGACATAACGGGCCCCTCCTTATCGTTTCATCAACTAAACCTCATATATAAGTTTGTTTACCCACGTCGGAGCCGGGGACCCTGGATCATCTTGTACCGAGATGCCCACGCGTTTTTAACCCTTAATGATCTAATAATAAGAACACTTGGATCTTGAGCTAGGACAAGGCTTCAGGAGCAAGACAACCTTCCATCCCCCTGCCCAATAGCAGGAAATCAGCAGGAAATTTCCGATAATATTTGCTTAGTTAGTTTCCCCACTATGCGCATTTCGCACCCGAATACGGATAGATATTTATATACTGTACAATAACACATGTACAGCGCACACTCAGGCCTTTTGTAACAGCCGCGTATTGCACGGAAGTAGACTTACGTTGTAGTCAAGATTTAGATATATAGCGCCAACTCCTATTGAAGCGAAGATAAGTTGCTCTTGAAGGATGGGACAATCCGGGTGGGAGGGGGGATTGGAACGTTCCTGGTATATCACCGGAGAAATTGAGCCCGAATATATGAGAGAGGACTCGGTTCGGAAGTGATTTGAGAATGTGATATACATGAACGAGAGGGTGGAGAGATTATCAGAGCCAGATAGTAATGTGGCAAAGTAGAATGGATTTAACCTTTTGGAATGCGTCGAAGATCACTTATGACTATGCATGTATGCGGCTAAGAAACATGCATTCCGCCTTACAAAAAGCCAACAAGCGTCCTCCAGGAGCTAAGAGGAAACCGGCAAAAGGTGCCATTTTTAACATGTTGACCACAAAAGATGGACCACCATATCCACTTAATCAAGCCCTCCCCTTCCCGCGAACGGGAAACGAAAATACTTAATTTCCAAAAAGATACCGCGGTGAGTAGTTGGTCAATGCTTCTATCTTCTTTGCACCAAAATAGGCCTTTACCGTAGGTAACATTTCCCAGAGAACAGGGTGGTAAGGGCCAGAGTGTTGGCAAAGGCGAGGGGGTGTCACAGTGGCAAGTTTGGAGATTGCGAGGGAACGCTGTGGATTTGAGATGCAAGTGTGAACGTGGGGATATCTGAAGTCATAATTCTCTCTTTTCACTTCTTGTGCTTTTCCCAAAGGGGAAGAATGGGACGGGCCATATTTCGTAAAACTCACTGGTCAATTGAACAGATATTATTATTTTTGTGTTCAGGTTCCGTCTGCGCAAGTAGCGTAACATCACATCATAAACCATTGCACAGAAAAGAAAGGCAGAAAAAAAGGGAATCCCGGCATTGGCTGGCTAATACACAATAAAAGGTAACTTTTTTTTATAATGTTATTTACTCCGATGGAACTATTATATTAGTTAGTATTCAAACTCATCGCTAACTCTCAGGAAGGAATATATATGTATATAAAACACGCACTATCAATCTCCCCAGCCTTGACCTCATCACTAATATCCTTGGGGCTCCGTCCATCGACCTGGCACCCGACACTGAAAGCAGTTCCGAGAATCTCGAGGACAGTTCCCTTCAGTTCCTTAGCCAAGGAGCGGCTTCGCATGACACGGGCGATCTCGATGATTTCATCTAGAGGGATAGACTTGGTGTGCTTGATGTTCTTCTCCTTCTTACGGTCACGAGGAGGTTCCTTGAGGGCC